TGTTAATGTATGTCTTAGTGGCCCAGAATGTGGTTTCTTTTGGTGAATATTCTGGTGTACTTGAAAAGAATGTATATTCTGCTGGTTTGGTTGGAGAGTTCTGTAAATTGATGAAGATGGTGGACAGGGTTGTCCAGCTTTTCCATGTCTTGTCTGGTTTCTCACCACTTGCTGTATTACTGTCAGATTTTCCAGCTATAATTCCTATTTCTTCTTTCAGTTTTTGCTTCTTATGTTTTGAAAGTCTGTTGTTTGGTGCATGTGTATTTATAATTATGTCTTACTGGTGAATTGACTCTTACTAACATGTAATGCTGCTGGCAATGCTCTTTGCTCTCAGGTTTAATTGGTCTGATATTAATACAGCACTTTTAATGTCTTGTGATTGGTATCTGCATGATGTGTGCTGTCCTCGTCCTTTGCCGCCAGCCCACCTGTGTGAGTGTATTGCGGTGAGTTTCTCACAGTCTGTGGTTGGATCATGTGTGTTTTGTTTACTCCAGTCTGACAAGCTGTCACTTAACTGGTACATTTGCGTTCAATGTAGTTATTGATGCGTCTGAATTTTAGGTTGCTGTCTCATTGTTTTTTACTCTTGTTGCTTGGTGTTTTCATCCCACTGTACCCTTTACTGTCTTCTTGGGGTTTTTTTAGTATTCCATTTTGATTTGTCTGTTGAATTTTGACTGTATCTGTCAGTGTGTATTTTTTTTTAGTAGTTGTTCCAGAGAATATAGTATACATATTTTACTCTTTACAATTTACTTAGGAAACATGTAATGTTTCCAGAAAAGGTAGAGCCCATACCATCACATAGGTTACCTACCATCTCTCCTTTATGGTGTAGTTGTCATGTGTAATATTTGCATTTGCTGCAAATTCTATTAGAATTATGGTTTGCTTTCAGTAGTCAAAAATATTTTGGAGAACTCAAGAAGAAAGGAATAGTCAATTTTTTTTTTTTTTAGAGACAGTCTCTTACCTTGTCGCCCTTGGTAGAGTGCTGTGGTGTCACAGCTCACAGCACCTCCAGCTCTTGGGCTCAGGCGATTCTTCTGCCTCAGCCTCCCAAGTAGCTGGGACCACAGGCACCCACCATAACACCCGGCTATTTTTTTGTTGCAGTTTGACCAGGGCCGGGCCTAAACCCACCACCCTCAGCACATGGGGCCGGCGCTCCACTAACTGAACCACTGGCGCCCTCCCCAGAATAGTCCATTTTATTCACAGAAACATTCACCATTTCTGTTGCTTTTCCTTCATTCCCAACGTTCCAGGCTTCCTTCTGTCGTTGTTTCTTTCCAACTGAAGGACATTCTGTTGTAGTTATTTTAAATCAGATCTGCTTGTAACGAATCACCTTGTTTTTCTCATCTTGTTTTATCTTCCTTCCTGAAGGATAGTGTCCCTGGATTTGGAATTCCGGGTTAATTATTTTCTTGCAGCACTTTAAAAATATTATTCCACTACCTCCCGGCCTGCGCTGTTCCAGATGTCGAGTCAGCAGCCATGTGCTCTGCTGCTTCTCTCTGAGCAATGAGCGCTGAACTCTTTTTTTGTTTTCTGGCTGCTGTCAAGACTTTCTTCTTTATCTTTAGGTTTCAGCCCTTGGATCCTGTGCCTGGGCTTGTACTTCTTTGGGTTTGACCTGTTCAGGGTTCTTTGAGCTTCTTCAACACCAGCAGGGTATTCAAGCTGCGGCTGGTGCAGGCCAAGCTGCAGATTGTTTGAGGACAGTTTATCTGTGGTGTTGGACATTGGAAAAAGTATGCCTGGACCTTTCTTTGTTTGTTTTTTTACTAATCAGCTTTCATTAGTGTTTGTGTATTTAATGTGTGGCCCAAGACAATTCTTCCAATGTGCAGCAGGAAACAAAAACGGTTGAGCACCCCTGAGTAGCTTTATGTTTTTGCCAAATTTGGGGCTTTCAGCCAAATTTTGTCAAATTTTTTTGCACTTAATTCTTTTTTCCTCTTCTTCTGTTAATCCTATAACATAAATGTTAGCCCTTTGCGTGTTGACACTAAGGCCCCCGAAGCCTTGTTTTTCCTGGTTGCTTACCTCTGCTGCTCACACTGGGTGAGTTCCGCTGACCTGTCTCCACGCTGCTCACACTGGGTGACTCCCCCACCCCATCTCCACGCCGCTCACACTGGGTGAGTTCCGCTGACCCGTCTCCACGCTGCTCACACTGGGTGACTCCCCTGCCCTGTCTCCACGATGCTCACACTGGGTGACTCCCCTGCCCTGTCTCCACGATGCTCACACTGGGTGACTCCCCTGCCCCGTCTCCACGCTGCTCACACTGGGTGACTCCCCCGCCCCATCTCCACGCTGCTCACTCTGGGTGATTTCCGCCGCCCCGTCTCCCCCGTGCTCACTCTAGGTGATTTTCGCCACCGTGTCTCCACGCTCTCTTCTTTGCAGCCTTTATTCTGCCATCATGGTCCACTCAGTGATGTTTTCTTGTTTCTGTCACTGTATTTTTCAAATCTAAAATTTCCACATGATTATGTTTTATATCTTTTATTTCTTTGCTGAGACTTTCTGTTTTTCCATTTGTTTCCAGAGTGTTTGCTCTTACTTTTGGGAGCATTTTTATAACATGTACTTTAATGTCTTTATCAGATAATTCTAACAACTATCTCGTCTCAGTGCTGGCCTTTTCTATGAGTTGGTATTTTCCTGGTTCTTCATATGCTGAGTAATTTTGTATTGTATCCTAAGAATGTTAAAGATGTTCTAAGACTCTTGGTCTTGTTTGCTTCCTATAAAACATGCTGACTTGGGCGGCGCCTGTGGCTCAAGAAGTAGAGCACTGACCCCATATACCAGAGGTGGTGGGTTCAAATCCATGCCTGGCCAAAAAAAAAAAAAACCCATGCTGACACTTTTGCTAATGTTGCTGGCATAAATCTGCAGACTCCAGCCCATCTTCTCTGGGACTGATTCCAAGGCCACTGTGTTCTTAGAGCCTTGTTCGCACAAGTATGCCATCCGTAGGCCAGACTGCCCTTGGCAGTACAGCAGATAAAAGGCAAAATAGGAAAATTGGTAAAATTCAAAAATGTCTACAGTTTGGTTTCAAGGAGTGATGCAAGGCTCCTCTGTGTAGGCAGGGTAGTGGGAGGTGAGCTGGGCACTGGGCCTTGATCCTGGGGTGTCTCCTCACCCCGCAGGTAGCCGTGCCCTCCCTGTGTGCACCAGACTAGTGAGTGGCAGAGTCATAACTGATCTCACTGCCGCCTCTGCTGTGCCAGCCCAGGAGGCTCAGCAGTTGTCCCAGTGTTAGGTGAACAAGGCCTGCAGGTTTGTAGCCTTCTGCAGAAGGTCCCTGATTTTCCATAAATGTGGAGGAGGTGAGTCTGCCTTTCTTTAATTTTTTTTTTTTTTTTTAGAGACAGAGTCTCACTTTGTTGCCCTTATTAGAGTGCCATGAAGTCACAGCTCACAGCAACCTCTGGGCTTAGGCAATTCTTTTGCCTCAGCCTCCCGAGTAGCTGGGACTACAGGTGCCCGCCAGGACACCCGGCTATTTTTTTGTTGCAGTTTGGCTGGGGCTGGGTTTGAGCCCACCACCCTGGGTATATGGAGCCAGCGCCCGACTCACTCAGCCACAGTGCCGCCCGAATCTTCCTTTCAATAAAGCACATCCCACCTGGCAGTGATGGCTAAGTGAGGCCTGATGGGTGCCCCAGCCTCCTGGGTCTCTGTCGGTCACTTTAGCAGTTCAGGAGCACCTGTGGGCAGAGGCTTTGCTGGTGTCTTGATGGGACCTGCCCTGTTGGGGCCTCTTTGCACAGTCTACTCCTAGAGTGGCTGGAAGCCTGTGTAACATGTGTTTCCTCCACCCCCTCTGTGGCAGTAGAGAAACACTGAGGCTTTCCACCTCCTGGGGGTCCAGCAGGGGTTTCTCGTTACCCTCAGGCTCTCCCAGGCCTTACCTTCCCTCACCTTATGTGTGGTCGCTGTGACAAAGCAGAATGTGCCAGAGGCCCGTGAGGGGGCCTGCCGGCTCTGAGCTGCTGCAGTCGCTGAGTGAGGGTGTGGGTGAGGGCATGGCACTACTCCTTGCTGTGTCTGCAAGTTGAGAAAGGCCCTGAGAACGGGACCTGGGCACAGCATTTAGGAGCAGATGCTCAAGTCCCACTCAGGCCCTGAGTTCTGAGGCTGTAACATCTCTGAGTATAGGAACAGGGCAGCAGCTCTTGCCCTCCATGTTATTTGGGAGCAATGAAGTGACAAACAGTGCCCTGCAGGGGCAGGGATAGTACAAGGACAGTGGGAAAACACTGGTCTCTGTGACTGGGTTAAGGTGCATTTTTCAAGCAGTTTCGGCAGTGTCTAATCTTAGAACGCATGTGGGCTCAGGGCAGGGGAGTGGCCTCTGAGGCCACGTGGGTGCAGGGGCTCTCGTGAAGGGATGTGCGTGCCCTGCTCTGAGCACATTCCTCTTCCACAGGTGACCCCAGGGTTTGAAGAAAAGGAAGGAGAGCTGCTGGTCAGGGGGCCTTCTGTGTTCCGAGAATACTGGGATAAACCAGAAGAAACTAAGAGTGCGTTCACTTCGGACGGCTGGTTCAAAACAGGTAGGCCCCACTTCTGTGGGAGTTGTAAGTGGAACAGGAGTGCAACTCAGACTCCAGATTGAATCTGTGCTTCCCGCACCTTCAGCCAAAGGCACAGGGTGGGATAGGGACTGTTGTTCAGTCTGTGAGCACCCATCCTTCCTGCCAGCTGATAGAGGGAGGACCCACAGGCCCTCAGGAGCCAGGGCCTCATTGCCACCTCTGCTCCTAGGTACACCCCGACTCTATGCCAGAGATCCTTATACACCCTCATCTCCACCCAGCTGCCTTGCTTTGTAAATCTTTCCCTCCTCCCACCTAGGGTCAGAAGTCGCCTTGGTGTGGTGCGATTTGCTGTGGTCTCTTCATTCTTTACATCACCACTCAAGTGGGTGTGTGTCCTGTGTTGCTGGCTGCAGCGGGCCCGTGGGTGGCTGTCAATCTGTTATCTAGACTGAGGCTGCCCAGGACCCTGACAGAGTGAGGAATGAGGCTGGTGCCCCTGGAGTGCTCTCTCCCGGGACACGTGCCCAGAGCCTGCTCTGCCTGCCACATGTCCACCTCCTATGTGAGAGGCCAGTGTGGACCTAGGGCCCATGTCCTGCCAAGAAGCACAGTGGGTGCTGGAAATACTCCAGTGCACTGTGTGTCTTTACCTGGAAGGACATCATTCCTGACATTAGGGGGTGGGGTTGGGGGAGGGGGTTCTTTTATTCTCTTTCTTTCCTTTGCCTTTCTGTAGTTCTAAAATTTTTGCCCTAAGTATGCATTATTTTATAATAAGGTAGTGTTTTCCAAAAAGAAGACCTCTTTTCCTATCAGGGTTCACTGTAGCCCCAAGTGGGAAATACACCTGTGCCACACTCCTCTATGAGGAGCAGAGCTCAGGAGGCCACAGCAGACGGGGTGGGCACTGCACAGGGTGGGCACTGCACAGG